TATAGGTATATTTACTTAACAGAACATTTTTGAAGACTCAGTAATAGAAAGAAGGTAGGAATTTCAGCACACTGTGGAGCGGATTTATTTATGATTCATTCCCTCTAATAGGATATGCTTGTTTACAGAGCTTGAACTAGATCTGGTAAAGGTTAAAGATTCCATAAAAGCTCCTACGACTCCTGTGACATAATGCCAATCCTTGCACAACATCCAAAACCAAAGCCAGTTTTCTAAGAAGACACTACAGTGAATCCAATAACAATATTTTAAATATCTGGCTGCAAATGGTTTGAGTTTTTTGCTTGTTTTTCATTTAAAGGTTGAATTAAAAAAAAAGAAAGTTAAGCTTAAAAAAAAACAACCAAACAAAAAAAACCCCACACCTTGAGAACTGCTAATACAAAATCACCTTCTCCTCAAAGCTATAGCACTGCACATTTGATTTCTCAATAAATGACTTTTTGAGGAAACACAGACTCTTAGATTTCACCACCCCTGATCTCCTCAGCACAGCTACATCCCTGACATTTATGAGCACAGCCCAATTCTAGCAGGTCCTCTGTTGCATGAGGTGCGATACCAAACTGCAATTATTTAATACCGTGCCAATCCATCACCCAGCATTGGTAACATTTTAGAGAATGTAGGGGGATCCCCAAGGGCTGGAATTCTTTTGCTGGTTCAGATGCTGAGGAATTACAAATCTAACCAGTGATGCTGCAAATTGGTTTATTTAGCACCTTCAGTGAAATGGTACACTAAGTTCTCAACACACCAGCTATGCAAACCACAGTATTGCAACATACAGAATAATTTTACTACTCCTGGGTGCATAAGGGCTCAGTTAGTCTTGAAACGAAACCAGTAAGAATAAATACTACACATGGATCGTTCCTTTTAAGAAGTCTTTGCTGTGAATGCAAATCCAACATACCCATCAAGATTTGAAAGCAGAGCGTATTTGACTAAATGAACTGAGCAGCTGTCACCGTGCAAAGTGCACTAACAGAAAAGCTCCAGAGTAACCTGTTACAGCTATCATGGTATCTCTACTGCACGCCCATCTGTGCTGCCAAAAATAAAATTATACCATGACTCTGACATCAACGCAACCAAACCTCAACTCAGAAAAAGCAGGACCAAGAAGTGAAGAAAAATTTACTTCAGATAACCAAGAACTGTCTCTGTGTTTATTTTACATCTTATTTTCTGCCTGTAAGGAGCCAGAAGCTCTGAAGAGATGTACAGAAGTTTCCAGTTCCAGACTGCTCCCCTCACCACAGCCCTTCAATTCAACCTACTGTGGCATTAATGGCAGAGGAAAGGTGCAGTTCTCCATGAAACTGCAGAAGATGAGAGATATGAAAGTCACATCACCCCTATCCCTACTGACTTTACAGAAAAGCATTCCCAAACACTGACAAACCCCACGTTTTAATGGGCCAAACTCTTCCACTGACCTGTCCATCTCTTGTCACCAACTGCTTCTGTTTACGCAACTTGGGGCAAGAATCTGTGAGAGCGACTAATAGTTTTCATTCAGCTCTTGCTGAAACTTTAAGCAATTAAGCTTTCCTGCAGCACTACAAGCACTGCCTTTTGTGGCAAGATAAGCAAGGGAGGGTGAGAAGACAGAAGGTAATACATTTCTGTACCACCAAAGACTAAAGCAGTTGCACCTTTACTGATCTGCTCCCTGCACCAAACAGAGAGGAATTTCAGCCATGACTGAAAACCAAGTGGATCTGAACAATCTTCATTGCTTTACTGTTGCTCCACACAAGCATGCAGCACAAATAGATTTTTCTCTGTCTTTCACAATTATCAAAAGTATCCATTACTACTTAGAAAAGTAAGATATAGTAGTTCAGGAATCACAGAAGTTACTCAGGATTATAATTGCAAAAGATCTTTTCTAAAGATCTTGCATGTTATTATTTACAGAAGCATACCACTGCACATAAAAACAGAAGCAGTATTCCTCTTTGCTGCATAAAATTGAAACCCAGCAACGCCACTGGTATTTTTAGAGTGCAATTTTGAAGCACTGGAGCCTCGATGAGGGATTGTCCGAAAGATATGTTGGCTTAGAAAAGTCCAAGCTAACAGGGATCTAGGAGGAATCTAGACCATGTTCCCGTTAAAAAGTTTTAGCACAGTACTGGTTCAACTACAGCTACGCAAAAACCACATTAAAAAAAAAAAAAAAAATTCCCACCCACTTTTCTTTATCACGGGAGGTTCCCGTGCCCCAAACAAATCCAAGGCTGTTTTTTGCCTTTCAGTTTCTCCCCTCCTCCCTCCCTCCCTCCCTCAGCTTCCTACCAGCTGAGATTCTGCAGCTGCAGCAACAACAGCCTGTCTGTGACAGTGCAACCACCACGGCCGGATGGTTACTACCAATTCACTAGCTTCCTTATGCTTTAATAGAGGTAGCAAATTGTGAAGGGGCTTTCCTCCTCCCCTTATTTTTTTTCTAAACTGAAAAGATACTGATGAATATTCATTCCTAGTCCTTTACCAAAGGCGTGAATTTCATTTAAAGGACTAGAAGGGAATTGCAAATTAGGCTAGCACAATGGGAGATTTTTCACTCGCTCCTCTGGTTTCAAAATACAGCTAAAGAGTAAGATTTTTCGCAGAAAGGAGACTTGCTGATAGTTAAAAAAAAAAAAAAAAATCTCTCCCTAAAGCCACCCTGCTCCTCACGGCTGCGACTCTGCTGCCCACTGCCGCGCCAAGTGCCAGGGGCCGCACCGTAACTCGCCGGTCCCGGTGCCCACCGGGGCGCTCGCTCACCGATGCGGATCTTCTGAAGTCCGGCACTCGGCAGAGCCGCGTTCCGAGCCAGGGCCGAACCAAAACCCGGCCTGCCCACGCCAGGCTGCAAACGCTACGCGCACCGCGTTTCACGCTGCCCAGCAGGCGCGGCCGCGGGGTGGGTGTGGGGGACTGCTCCCCCCCGGGGCCCACGCGGAGTGTGTGTGTGTGGGGGGAATGACAGGCACACGTTGCCCCCCGCTTTCCGGAGCCCAGGAGCGCACCGCTTTTAGTTTCTTCGTGAGACCACAGAAGAACCTGCATTTCAATATTCATCGCCTGGTGGATAAGCTTCCAGGTCAAGTTTCTTAACAAAACGCAGGAATATAAATGAGATCGCTTTTTGTTTGGTTGGTTTGGGGTTTTTTTTGTTGTTTTTTTTTGTTGTTTTCTTCATTCCCCCCTTTCCCCTCCTGCTCTGGCAAAGCGAAGAGGCAAACCAACCCTTTCACACCTTCTCGCCGGGCGGGGGGCTGGGAGGCGGCCGCGGGCGCACACGCACACACACACACGGACAGACAGACGGACGGACGTGCGCACACGCACGCACGCCCACCCGCGGACAGGCGCACACGTGCGCGCACCCACGCCGCTGCCCCTAGAAGCGCCGGCTTCGCCGCTCCCCTCCCCCCCCCCCCCCCAAACCTCCCCCCAGCCCCGGAGCTCCGCGGGGCCCGGCTCCCGCACTCACTTTCGTCCTGCCGTTGATTCTGTAGTTGCCCAGCTTGCCGTTGCAGTGTCGGATGAGATCGTCCATGCTGTTCATGAGGAGCCGGATGGTCTGGCAGCCCGGCTCCTTGCCCTCCACCCAGGTGATCTTGTCGCCGCGGATGTCCTTGGAGGAGTCGCTCTTCTGGCTGACGAGCTGCCCGTCGGTGAAGCGGCCGGTGTGGTGGAGGGCCCGCACCTCCTGGGCCACCAGCCCGCCCAGCTCCTTGCCGAGGAAGTCGTCCACCACGCAGATGCCGTGCTTGTTCATGCAGGGCACGATGTACTCCAGCGCCAGCCGCTGCGGCACCAGCGACTTCGTCTGCCCGTTGGGGCGCAGAGCGGCCCCGCCGGGCCCCGCCTGCACGCCGCCCGGGTACAGGTTCGACTTGTCCCGGTACAACAGTACCGCCTCCCCGGAGGGCGACGGCGACTGGGCCGGGGCCTCCGTCTCACCGCCGGCAGCCGCGGCGGCGGCGACGTGGTTGTTGGTCAGCGGGGCGGCCTCGGCGGGGGCCTCCGGCGGCGTCGCTGCGCCCTTCCCCAGCGCGGCCGCGGCCCCGGCCCCCGCCGCCGCCCGGCTGCCGCCTCCCGCCGCGGCCCCGGCGCTGAGGGCGCGAGCCGGCGGGGGGTGCCCGCCGCGGGGCTCGGCAGCGCCCCCTGCTGCGCCCGCCGCCGCGCCGCCGCCGCCGCGGCAGATGAGCTTGTGCTTCTTCCAGTCCTGGCGCTGGTGCTCCTTGCTGCAGTAAAAGGAGTTGCGGCAACGCCCGCACCGCAGCAGGTTCTCCATCTTCCCGCACAGCTCGCAGTACTGCCGGTCCCGTTCGCTGCTGCTGCTGCTGCTGCCGCCGCCGCAGCCGCCGCCGCTGCTGCTGCTCTCGCCGCCGCCCTGGCCGGCCCCGCCGCCGCTGTCATTCGCCATGGCGCTGGTGGTGCCGCCGCAGCCCCGCTCCGCCGCCGAGGGGTTATGTAAGGAGGCGGGCGGGAGCGGCGCTAACGCGGCCCCCGCCCGGCCGCGCGGGGAGGGAGCGCTCACTGCATCATGGCCGCCCGGGCTCCGCCGCGGCCCCCGCCACCTTCCGCCGGCCAGCGGCCTCCCTCGGAGCAGCCGGGCGCGGGGCTGCCGCGGGGGGCCCGCGCCGCCCTCCCTGCGCCGCTAACGCCGCCTCATCGCCGCCCCGCCGAGGGCGAGCGGAGGGAGAGCAGCGCCGGCGGCGGGCGGGGGGGGGGGGGGGGGAGGGAGGCTGCCTTCCGCTCCCCGCCGGCCTCTCTGCCCGGTGCGCGGCCCGGCGCGGCCGCCGCCTCTCCCCGCCGCGCCTCCGCCGCTGTGTTGGGGCGAGGAGGAGGCGCCACTCCCGCAGCCCGCTTTGCACGTACGCCACTTCCAGCCCGCCAGCGCCGCCGGCGCGTCAGGCAGGCGGGGCCGCGCCGCCGGGCGGGCGGGGCGGGGCCGGGCCGGGCCGGGCCGGGCCGGGCCGGGGCAGGGCAGGGCAGAGCAAGGCGTGCCGTGCCGTGCCGTGCCGCGCCGGGCGGAGGGGGCGGCCCGGAGGCCCCAGGCCCCTCAGCGCAGCGGCAGGCCTCAGGCCTCAGGCCTAGGCCGGGCCCCCAACCCGCGGCGGCGGGAGGGAGCGCGGGCGCGCGGCAGCGAGTCCTCGAGGAGCGCGGCCGCCTCCGCCGCGGCCCCACGGCGCTAGGAACGGGGGAGCGAGGGGGTACCGGTCCGGGTCGCCCGCCGTCCCCCCGCGGGCGGTGGGTCGCCCATCCGTGAGTGCCCTTGTCCCCGTCCTCAGTGGTAGCTACCCCCCCCGGGGTGAGGGGAGGGGGTGCGGGCCCGCCGCTGGCGAGGCGGGGGCAGCGAGGAGCGGGAGCGACGCCGGGCTGACATGGAAGCCGGGCGCTGAGGCCTTGTGTGACAGGGAGGGCGGCGGCGGCGGCACCCGGCCGCCGTGCAGGGCCGGGTTTTGTCACTCCCCTAGTCCCCGAAATATCCCCCCCCCCCCCCCGCCCCAGATAGCTGCCAGAGCGGGGCGTGCGCTGGCTCCCTCATAAATTACCCGTGGCTTTGTGTCCCACCTAACTCGGCAGTAACGAAGGCCGCAGTCAGGCCGGTTAAAAAATCAAAAAAGCAGGCAGAAGAAGCAGGTGATGCGGCCGCTGAAAGGAGGAGAGGCCGGGAATTGGGGCCAGCGCGGTGATCAGTGTGGCAAAGGCCCTGAGAGGAAAAAGGAAGCTGGTTTGGCAGAGCGGGCGCCGGTGGAGGGATGAAGATCCTAACACAGTCACGTCGGCTGTCAGAAGCCACGCGAGGACCTGAACTCCTCCAAGGTGATTGATCTGGCTTCGCCATGGTGTCGCTCGCTCGTGATAAATGTTAGGAAGGCAGAGCGTATGCTGCGATTTGCCGCGATGCAGCCCAACATGGTGGCCGGTGCCTCAGAGCCTCGTGGTGAGCCAGAGCAAGGACGCTTGCAGGGCTGGGGGTTCTCCTGACCACCCCCTCGGAGAACCGTTGAGTGAACAGACAGCAAGTGTTCGCTCTGCAGGCTGGGCTGGTGAGAGGCAGCACCTGCACTTGGTGTGTGCCACCTGTAAGTTAAGCTCATCCATTCTTAAGTCCCACAAGTGTCGAATACAGGAGCTAGCATGCGGGATCTGCAGGTAGAAAGGTGAAATGAAGCCTCTGCTTGGTAAACCGTAGGCTGCCACAGGCTTTCGTGTGATTTTGGACAAATCAGTTTTTCTTTACCACTGTAGAAGAGGAATAGTAATGCTTTTGTTTCTTGCAGGCTGCCGTGAGGCTTAGGACTGCAATATACTTGTGTTACAGTGTGATGGCTTTATGTATGCAATTAAAATGGTTTGGTTCTTACCATCTCTCTATATAGACCTCGATTTAAAATTAACTGACATAGCAATAGGACTTGGAGGAATGTTAGGAACTGCGTGTACTACGTGAAGGATGTAAAATGAGAAACAAAGTGTGCCAAGGCTACAAACGCCTGCGGTACATAAACAGAAAATGAGAAGGAAAAACAGGGTGAATTATTAGAAAGGCAAAAGGAGTACTGGGAGGACAAGGTCATGAAAGCCTGAAGGATGGGATTTCAAGGTGAATGTGATCAGCAAGCTCCAAGGCTGAATTAAAAAAGAAAAAAAAAAGCTGAATGAACTGGAAAAGCTGGGAACTAAAACCAGATAGAGTGCAGATTAGTAATTTCTTTGTTCATTGCTCTTAAAGAGAGGAAAGTACAGCGATAGAGGCAAAAGGAAGTGGGTGAAAAACAAGTTTTAAATCCAGAGCATAAAGTGGACAGATTTTTAATCTAGGTTTAATGAGAATTGTTCTTTAACGACAGGTATATGAAGTATGTCAGAAATACTAGACTAGGCATTCTAGCTTGCTTTAAACAGAGTAATGCAACTGAATTCCTTGGATTTGCAGCATTGTTAAACTGGGCTAAATGAGAAGAGAGACAAGGCTGTTATTTTAAAAAACTTCAGAAATGCAAACAATGATGTTTTGCCAGAAAGAAACCGAAGAGTTAAAGACCTTTTGTGTTTGTTGTGTACTCCTTCAGCAAACATAATGGAGATGAAAGTCACGGACTTGAAACTCAATAGTCCAACTATGAAACAAATAAGAAAAGGACCAAGGTACAAATACGGTGCCTGGCTAAAGCCTAATGATAGTTATTAATTCATGGGCTAATTTGGCTTCAAAAATCTTTCCCACATGTCTCTTGGGATGCAGTTAAAGGTTTTGGTCTTCATTTTTACATTTGATAATGTGCTGAGCTACTTCAGGTTGTCTTGACATATTGTTCCCCAGCATGGTCAATAGAAATACCGAATTCAGCACAACCCATCTTCAGGCATATGAAGCATTTGCTGTATTTTATGATGATAGCACTTCACCAGCGGCACAAAACAATTTAATGAAGGCTGTTGTCCAGTGACAAAGCTGCAGAAAAGAGTGGTGGTGATAAGGAAACTCTGGAAGACAATGAGCGTTTATATTACAGTACTGTCTACAACATGCTAGAAATGTTTTCCAAGTGTATAAAGACTCTATTCATTGCCAAACAGCTTGTTCCTTAAAAGACAGCATAAGGACAAAACACAACAAAAAGCAACATACTACGGTATACAGAGCAAAATGACCAACATGATGGTTGCCAAAACCGAGGGGGAAGGGACTTCCTCCTCTTCCTTTTCTGCTGGTTCTTCTTCCCTCACTCCCTAACAGGGCATTTCCAAAGATAGCTAATTTCTTGTCTGTGTCAGTGAATGCTGGAAAAGAACTTGGTCTGGTGACTAGGTAACGGTGAAACATATTGCTTTGCAGAGAATGCAGATGAAACGTCTTTAAAGTAATAGCAGTCATCATGAGGTTGTTGTGGGATAAACTTAATGGAAGGTCATAGTTTTTTGTCACTGCTTAGATATGGATCTGATATGTTTATTAGAAATGCAAAAAAAAAAAAAAAAGGTTGGTCAATGAATAACTTTTCTGTTTTCAATAAGTAGTAATAATAGCTGCATTTATACCATACTTTACATATTTTGAGTACTGCAGCGGTAAGGTTGTATAAGCAACTGAAAAAGAATCTTTGAAGTCCAGGGAGAGGGGGGGGAATGCAGAATAACAAGATTACGGAAGTTTAATTCACAGAACAAAATCTGCTTAGAAATAAAGTTTAAATAAAAAGTACTCTCATCTTCAGATAGTTTTGCAGTGAACAGGAAAAAAGTCCTTGGGACTCCAGGCTGTTTTTCACAGCTGCCAGAAGGCCACTTGGAAGCTGCATGTGCTCCTGAGGTTGGTGGCAGTGTGAGGCATCAGTCAGACAGATGTGTGTCCATGGCAGCGTTGTGATTTACTTGGAAGTTGGGAAGTTGTAGCATTTGCTCTCTTCCCCCCAGACCACCCCAATATGTTCTTCAGCCTGACTGCTCTTACTCCACTTAAACCATCATTCAGTGATCTCAACAGTGCCATTTTTCAAGCTTGCTTTTCATACTAGCAAGTGAACTGTAACAGGTTTGCAGCTTTTCCAAATAAAACTAGCGAACTGTTTGTCTGAGTTGGATTCTCTGTTAAACTCACTTCCTTTCTAATCAGGACAAACTGTACAAAGTACATCCACAAGGCTATGCAAGTGCTCCTTTGTTGAACGCACGCTCTTTCCTGAGGTACTCAAAGGGTTAGTGTGGTTTATTCATCTCCCAAATACCCTGCCCCCTGTTTCTGCAAAGCACAGAAAGGGTCACCCATGGGAGGTGATCAGGAAGGTGTAGGGTTATTGACTGGCTGTGCTAGTGCCCACCAGCTGCGGAGTCCCATCAAGTCACGCTGTGGCCAGCACAAGCTAAGGGGTCTTGGCAGTTTTCAAGATCCAGGCTTCAGCTCTCTGATAACACCAAGAGCTTGATATTCTCTTGTCACAGTATGAAGTGGGACACAGCCCTTGGGACAACAGAGAATCAGACTCAGAGCCCTGAAAATAATCCGCAGTACCCTGGACCACTTTCCATCCCTCTTAGTGCTTGTTGATGCCATTGTAGAGTTTCCCTGAAAGTTTCTGCTGAAATTAACAGACTAGTTTGGTTGTTTATCACTGAATATCATAATGCTGTAATGTTTAAGGGAAAAACCTTTCATTATAATCTGAGATTATAAGGGTTGGGCTAAATTATAAGGAGAAGTATTCTCAATTGCTTTGTGTAAACTTGTGTTTAATATTGTGTTTAATATTGTGGGATTCCTCCAGGCTCTTCGTCTAAAATTGGTTTTGCTGTCCTTGATTCTGTCTGAAATGATACATATTTGCTTCTCTGGGAATATAGCCTATTTTTATTACACCAAAAATATGGTTAGGGTTGATCGAGAGAGATTTATATATATTAAAATATGTGACTACTTTAATAATTCTATTCATAGTTAAAGAAAAATTAATTATACTAATGAAGTACAAGGCAATATGCCTTTTTTTTTTTTTTTTTTTTTTTTAACTGAAAATGCTGCTACCAGACATCTATATTTGTAAAGCTGTGGAAATGCACCAGAGCTTAGAAAATGCTCAAGACTGACTCATTCCAGTTTTGTCCTTGTTTTAAACTTTGTACTATGGAAAGTTCAAAAGCTTTTTCCACATCGTGAGGTTTCTCCAGAGGGAGTATTTCTGGCTTTGGTTAGAAAAGAACTCCCTCTCTTGCTAAAGATTGACAATTATGTACATGTTTGGCCTCTAACTTAAGCAAGCCAGCAGGCCCTCGGGGTGCTTAAAGTCCAGTTATGGACAGAAAGTTACTTTTAAAGAACATTTTTTTAAACACTGTTTGAAATCCACACACTGATACAGCAATAAGCAGTTTTGAAAAAAAAAAAAAAAAAAGAATTCCTGTTTTATCTGTAGGTAGGTCAAATTTATCTGAACTGGTCCAGAAGCTTTTCTCAGTTTTCGTGCAGACAAGTCTTCCAGCATGAGAACAAGGGACTCCAACATAGAGAAAGTCTCTCCAGCGCTTCTTCGTAGGGCTAAAATCATAACATGACCTTTTCACTTTGCATCTGATACGTGCTTCCTGCCCCTGTGTCATCATGATTCAGCATCGTGACATGCTGAAAGATCATCAAGGTGGAAACAATGCCGAGCAGTGTTAGGATGATGTGGCCTGCCATGATTATTTGGCACGTACCTGATTTATTGCACATCATATTTTCTCTTTCCTTGTCTTTCAGCTGCCAGGCACGTAGTTCTCTCTTCTGCCCTTGCCCTGCCTTGTATTTGGAAAGGAGAATGGGGATGCCCTGGGGTGTGGGCACGAAGGACAGTTTGCTTTGCGCCCCTTGGTTTGGGAAGCTGGAGAACGCCTCAGCTCACGCATTATGATATATCCTGCTATTTAGTGAGTTACAGTCTCCACTTCTTTTTCCTGATTCCCTAGAAACTATTACCCAGAGCTCAGGAGGGGAACTCAAGAGCTGTTCCTGAAGCCATAAAGATGTGTTTGTTAAAAGACTGGTCATTTTATCTTTGGGTCAAGATGCAGTTTCTTTTCCCTTTCTTCAGCTGGCCAGTACAATTTCTGATATCTCTAAATTATTTTTCTTACTGAGGCACTTGTACCAGAAAGAGAGAGTCTAAGAAAGAGCAAGCTTAAAACATTTTCTGCAATGAAAGGAGAAACCTGTCTCAGTAATTTAAGAGAGGAAGGAAAAGATAATAGGGAATTTTTGAACTGATAAACCTAGGTGTTATTCTTCAATACGAGTTAGGGTTTGATTTTATTGTTTGATGAGGCAATTTCTCGAGAAGAATGGG